CAAAATAGAGGGGTAGTCTCTTCCCAAGTACTTTAAGCTCTACCGATTATAATTTCTACTATGAGAGTAATAGTAAACAAGAAGAATTTCTGAACTGCCTTATTGGTGATTTTGCATGGAACTAATTACTTCTGCCATACTGTTTTCCTCCTCCTGCGTACGTATGAATGTATGATTTTTAGCCCACACTGATGAAAGTTTCCATTTTTTTTTTTTTTTTTTTTTTTTTTCCTAATCAGGAGGGGAGGATTTTTTTCATGGAGGTCTGAAACTTCTTGGCAGGCTGGCACTTCTAACAGAGAAAGATCTTTGGACTGTTAATGGTCTTCCCAATGAAAATAACCCTTCTGACCACCTGCCATTGCTAGCAGAGTTCAGGCTTATTGAACGGTAATATCCAAAGGACTTTTTGTGTAGGTAAAAGTTGCCTTCACCTTCTCTCTTCATGTGGTTATTTTTTTAAAGGTTAATTCAAGCACTGCTGGTCCAGTTTAAATAAGTTTGCATGCATGCTGATTTGTTAGTGTTGTTTAAAGTAGGCTTTTTAAACAGACTTTTTAAAAAATGTTCAAATTACTTTATGAAGTCTTTAAGGCAAAAAGATTTTAAAGTAGCTTCCTCTGATAATGGAAAACATCTGTGCCAGTCTCAAAATGGCAATATTTTTCAGAGATGCTGTAAATGGTTTTTATTGTAAATCACAGTAAAACTGATTATTCTGAGAACTATGTGCTTCTTCAAGTAAAGGGGAATGCTACACTTCATATAAAGAGCTGAGGATAATGTTTTACTACAAAGTTGCTCTGTAGACACTTCTGTCTAAATACTTCCACAAAGGAATTTCCTCAGTTACCCAGAGTGCAGTCAGTGCAGAGGCTGCAAGATTGAACTTCCAAAGGAAGAAGATAGCTTTGCAGTAAGGCAAGTATTTATGTTCTAAAAAATTACTTCAACTTCTAAAAGCTTAAATATAGGTAGCATTCAATGGAATTTTTTTAAAAGTATCTGAAATAAAACCCCATTTAATGAGCATGAATACTTCTAGCAAAATTAAAAAATTTTAGGGGGAAAAAGTCAGTCCTCAACACTTGAGGCTTCATATGTATTTAACAAATGTTTTTATTCTATTTAGTTATTAAAAATGTCAAGTTGTATATTGAAATAACAGCTCCTGAGGTATTAAATGATCAAGATTTTATATTTGCTCGCATAATGCACTGATAAACATTCTGTGCAAAATACCATTTACAAAATAAAAAACCCCAAAGAATGTCTGAATAGGAAACTTGCAGGGAGCCAGGGGGCCTGGAAACAAGTCTTGTAACTTGGTCAAACTAGAGATGGGATATGTATGTACGTAAAACTGACTTAAAAGGGGCACTTGGAAAACTGCCTTTCAGTGTAGTGCTGGAAAACCAGCACCCACATTCCTGAAATCACATTCAGATGCATTTGTCTCTCAGAAACATTTGTTCTTCTCCAACCTAATTTTTGGAATTGTTGTCTGGGTTTCCTTTTGCTGACGGCAGAATTACAACTGTGATTACTTCATGCTTTGAGAATAATGCAGGAAGTACAGTGGTAGTAATTGCAAACCCGTTGACTTGAGAAAGTATTTCAGTGTTACACTGAAAAATAGGACTACCTACCAAAACATTCAGCTTAAATTGCTTGGAAGTTGGAAGGGGCCTATTTTTCTCATAAGTAATTGTGACTGAGGAGCTTTCTTCTACTTGTTGCTAACAGGCAAGTTAATGCTGTAGATGACTACCTCTTCAATACTGTGCTCTACTTGGATACTTAAAAATCACATTCTCAAAGCTGGAGCTGATAGATGCAAACATACTTAACCAGCTGCAACAGATTTCTGGTAGATCCTGGTTACAGCTAAAAATGTTCAGCTGTAGCAGCCTGTGTAGCCTGTGTTAAGAACAAGGAGGCTTGCTAGCCTCGAGGACTGTGCGTTGTCTCCATTGTGGGGAGCAGCACAAGACCTCAACAGTGCTGCTCTAGAGCACTGCTGGCAAAGGGGCTGCTGAACAGGGCAGGGTGGGTTACAGAGAAGTTCTGCTATTTAGAATAAGCCTTAACTTGAGCATCACTTTTCAGGCTTGTCTAAAGCCTGAGGTTTCACATCAATTCCTTTCTCTTTTACATAGAAGCAGTTACTTAGGCCAGGCCAAACACCCTGATTATTTACAATGCTGGTTTGAATCTTAAGTTTTGTGCTCATGTAAAAGCAGCTGCTTTGGACTTGCTCATCCATGGTTTCCATATTGGGTTTGTATTCAGATACTGTGCATTGCTGTGACACTTTAAAATGGCCAGATTCCTCAAGGCAGTAAAGATGGCCATATGAAAAACATACCCCACTTCCCTGATACCCACATTAAACCATTAAGGCAGTAAAATATTTGTTCTACTTCATTAGTGTAGGTTATTACTATTAAAGGACTATGATAATTTGCTTTCATTTACAAAAGGGGAAGCTGTCACCTCAAGAGTTTTCTCCATTTTAATGACAATAACATGGGGAAAGGGCCAAGCTACTACTGAAAGAAAAAAGCAGAAGCTGCTTGATGACATGATGCAGACATCAGTGCTTCTAGTTCAGGGATGTTTATTGTTCTATAACAATGTATTTTCAGCATGTAGAGGCTTGTTTCAGTCTTTCTTTGTAAAACCCGTTAATGGTTAGCTACAGGGTAGGTTTAAGGCCTTTATGTTCAGTGATTTCTTTGTAGAATAACAAATGAGGTAGCTATTTAACAATCTTAGAAAAAATCTGCTTTATCCTGTCTTGATTTTTAGAAACAACTTGATCTTTTCTGGAATAGAAACTGGGACAGGACCAAAAAAATCCCCTAAGTTATTAAAAAAACTACCATGATATTTTATTGAGGTTTCATGCTGTGCATAAACATACAAGTGATTAAAAAAAGTCATGCATGTTTTCTACACTATTATTTGACCACGTTGCAGTAACAGTCACTAGAACCACACTTAAGACAAATGCTATCATAGGTAAGTTTCAAGAGAATATTTCAGCTCAACTTCAAAACAAGAACCAAAAGCAATTTGTCACACACCTCTATGGCATTAAAAAGCTTCAGTGTAAGTTAGAGGTTAAAGAAAATAAATTGTGCTGAACAGTACAAACTAGATATCAACCACCATTACTTAAGCTGAAGTAAACCATGGTTTCATAGAAAAAAAAACTTGCGACTTAGCAGATAACCTTGTGCTGTAGGATACAGCTGATCAAAGTAAGTTTTTCCCATCATTTTAGTCATTGGAAATCTAAGGAATACATTAAAAAAAACTTACGTCACAAGACACTGGGCAGCACAAAGTTGAAAACTAAAATGAGTACTTCCCTCTCTCCCATTTCACTCCTGAACCAAAAAAATTCCTGTTGTGAACACAGGAGTGGAAAAGTTTGCAGAAAGAGGGATGGGAAAGGCCTCCTTGTAATTGAAGTGGTAATCTTGTATAAAGAAGTGTAATACATTTGAAAAGTCATCTTTCTAGTCCTTCTGAAGCCTAATTAGCAGAAAGCCTTTTACTGTTTGCAGAAGGTTGCTGGGTCATGCTGCTGTCTTCCTGTCCTCAGTAGGCGAGATTCATTGACTTTTTCTGAGCAATGAGGTCTGCGTACAAGCAATCGTTTCCTTCTGTATTCACTCAATTGCTGGCTGATACAAGTGTTCTAGGAGCTCAAGTCATTCAGTCTGAGTAAGCATTATTGTCACTGCGTTACCATGTCCTCTCTTCAGCAAGATCCCAAAAAAGTAAATGTCCAGGAGGGGAGGTACACAAGGCCCATGGCAGTATCATCTATAAGCACAGCACAAAGGGTAGAGGCTGGACTTGTACAATAATCCAGTTTCTGTTTAGGCACCTAATAAAATATTTTCAGGAATGCAGCACTCGAATGCTTCCAGAGAAATTCACTAATGCAAATGGCAGACCCCAATGAAAGTCTTACCTCGTCACTTGGGAACGCTGCCGTCCATCACAGGTCCTTAGCTCAGTCTTAGAGCAAAAGGACTGAGTAGGGAGCAAGCAGACAAGCTTGATTTTCAGCTGTTATTTCAGACGTACAATTTGATTTATTGCTGAAGTTGTTCCAGTACAAGCTTCCTTATTCAGGTCTGACTAAGCCGTTGCTACTACAACACATATAGGAAAAACTCCCTACAGCAGCATGGCAGAAGGTTAACTTCAGCCTGCAATGACTGATCTTAATATAAGATGTCAAGGCATCACCATCTGAGACTGCTCAGCCTTTCAAAGACAAGGTTCAAAGTTACATACAAGTGTTGAAAGAAAACGTATAGACTCAAGTTAGCAATTCTGACATTTTTCCCATTATTCCAGGAACACATACGAGAAACTGACCAGTGGGTGAACGCTTGTCTCTACAAAACAGCAGTCTCTACATTTGTGCTTCAGCAGTGTAGTCCACAAAGACTAAAAACTTGTGACAAAGTATAAAAAAATTATGAAAGTTTAAAAATTCATTATTCATCAGTTACTCCCATTTTTTAAAAAAACCAAAACCTCATCTTTTTCCTAATAAGATGTCAGTGTTTAAGAATACACTTACATATTACTATTACTTAACATTTCTCAGCAACATGCACAAAATAATAATACATGTGGCAGTAAACATCCAGTGCTGGTTTAATACTACCAGAAATGCTGGGAAACAGTACAAATTAGTTACAAAACAATAATATTGACAGTTTTGCATATCTGTTAGGTTTAGTGAGGTAATGTTGATACTTTAAAAACTCATGCCACTTCTGCACTGCTTGTTTTTATTGCTGAATTAAATATTAATACTGAATATGATTTTCTTAGACTGCACTGCACTCCAGCACATCTTACCACTAAGAATATGATTTTTTAGTCGTCCCAACACTGCTTCTCAGCATAATGCCCAAATTCAATTGATACTTGCACAGGGAAATTATATTTGAAGAAATTCTCACACCACTGGAGTCACCTGCTACATGGAGGGGTTCTCTTCACTGACGCCTTTTCTATAAATTGAAAGAAAATAAATACTGCCACCAAAAAAAATTCCCCCCTTCTATTTTCTAGGTAAGATATTGATTATAAGCGTCCACAAGTTAATAAATAGTCCCATTCCTTTTTCCTTCCAACGGAGTGCAGGTAAAGTGCAGCAGGAAGCACCAGGGAAGCCCTCTGTTTGGCGTATGGCTTCGTTAGATGCGGAGCTGGTAACCTACCTCGTTGAGCGTGGCCAGGTCTCCTTTCTTGTCCACCACTGCAGGCCTGCGAGCAAAGGAGGGAAGAAGGCACCGCTCACCAGCAATCCCACACTGCCATGCAGGAGTGGAGAGAGCAGATGTCACACTGGGAACAGTTTACTTCAAAGTAGGACTGACTAGATCTAATTTTTTCATCATGAGCACGATCCTGCTGAAAATTTGCCACATGAACTGGTGTGACTGAGCTGCCCGTGTGGGTTGCCTCTGAAGCCAAGCGCCAGCAAAGAACAAGTCGTCCCATCCTGGAGTCCATGATCTGAGCCTGAGAGTGCCCCTCTCACTCTGACTTGAGAGGGCCTAAATGAGTATCTAAAACCAGACACATCCCGCCCACAATCTACCCCAGAGCACGATTCAGGCTTTCAGAATAACGTGGAAGGTGCTGATGTTGTCCCAAAATCAGCGTTCTTTTACCTGGCGTGCAAAAAAGCTGATCACCACACAGAGTGGAGGTATTAGTTTATTTCATGTCTGCACAGAGGTGGGTGCTAGGTGGTAACTCCAACTCAACTGTGCTGTTTGACATCACCGAGAGCAAACAGGCAAGGCCCTTCACACAGCCGCAGCGCGTTGTCTCTCTCTGAACCTGCCCATTCCTCTTGGCTAGGTCTGTGCGAAGGGCTAGAGCCCACCAAACAGAAAACAGAAGATGAACTCCCTTCAGCCTCCCGGCATCTTCTATTCTGATACAGTCCAGCTCTTCGCTTGAGTAGTCACACACATGCGTGTGCTGTCAAGCCCTTTAAGCATATCAACACCCCGAGCCAAAGGAAACCTTAAGACTGAGCAATCAGTCTCTCCCTGTTTAGCGAGCAACGGAACAGCTCCTGCAACAAAGTTGTCAAACCGAAACAATCCTGGTGATTTGCAGTCTATGGAAGTGTCTAATCTGAGAGCTTATTCCAGGCTCTTCGCTAATTTCACACTAAGCCGTATGTTTGCTTTTCTAAAGAAAGACATTGTTTAAAATAAACGTTTCTCCAAGTAGACTCTACAGCCTGTCAGCTTCACGGCAAAAACACAGCTAAAGCCCAAGTAGTACAACGCGAAGCTGGCAACGGCTCCAGCGCTTTCCCGCCGCTCCTCAGACCTGGCTTCCAGCTCTTGCGCTTACTCTTTTCTCACTGGGCGGCAGCTGGGGATCTACAGATTACATCTATATACACACAAACATGTGTGGCAGAGCCTTGGAAATATTCTTGAATTCTTCGATTCAAATTTTTTTTTTTCTTTTTTTTAAAAGAGCAGTGCTGCTAACATCAGATCTCTGCTGAGAATTCACACAGCATTTGAGAGCTGGGGACACTGCTATGGACAACTAATGCTCTTCTGCCTAGTCGCACATTGAATGCAATCTGGTTTTTTGCCACTTATTTAAGCACCTCTGTTAATAACCCCATCATCTTCTCTGCAGTACTGCCCTGTACCCTGCCTCGTGTTTGTCCCGGTTTGTGAGTACTTCACAGAAGGGAGGGTGTCTTCACTGATCTCTCACTTGCAGGAAGGGATTGCACCTGAAGAAGTCATTCTAAGATAGTTTGGATTTTTCCACTTTATTGCTTCAGAGCAGATGGGATTTGACTAGCCAGAAAACAAGCTACAAGCTGCATCCCTCAGACCTTGTGCAGGACTCCGAGACCAGTGAGAGATGCACTGTATGAAATTTCCAGTGTCCTTCCTCCCTCCCTCCCTCCAATTTCGGGATCCTCTTCCCTTCCCACCCTTTTCTCCCTCCTTCCCTCTCTCCCTCCCTTTAATTAAAGCCAGAATATGGTTTTAATTAAAGCATGCCTGGATGGCTCTACCTTCTCCGATTATCCAGGAGAGATGGGGAGTCACTGGACACACATGGCGACTTGGCCATTTCCACTCCATGACAATTCTCTAGCACATAGCTACAAACAAGCTGTCCTCCTAAGTTTCTCTTCAGGGTTTTAGGAAGAGGATTTGTTGGAGCAGAGGCACTGCAGCCCCTGTTCACCTTGGCTGGCAAACGACCCGATGCCAAACGTCGCCGCTGACGCAAGGGACCTCTGCTGTACTGGCCCATCAGATCACAGCTCCCGTCCAAGGTGTCCTGACAATGAGCAGGTGAATAAGCTGTGCAGAGCTGCTGGGTACACACTATTCACCAGTTGTCTGCACTGAATCTGCCTGGTTTTGTACATCCTAATATAATCCTAATATAATCCTGCCCCCTTGCACATCCTAATATACTGGACTAACAGAATTTTCCTTTCAACAGCTACATTAGGCCAGAAGCACACACGGCCAGTGTTGCTATGACACTCACAGAGCATGCATGTATGAAATCAAAAGGAAATAGATCTGGTGAACTGACATTTAGGAGCAGAGATTGCTTCAGGCTGCCACATGATGCTCCCTTCCAAACTCCTATCAACTCTCCCAAACCCCTCCAGCTCCCAGCACTTCTGTTGAGGATGATGCCTGTTCCAGCACAGTGGCTTGCAATTTACTGCACCCTCCTGGTTTGGGACTTCACAGGATGGACAAGTGGACACAGTAAAGCTTCAGACTTACCAGACGGATTCACACCACCCTGTCTCCTCTTCATTCATCCTGTCTTCTGGCCACCCTTAGCAGGATCACACCAGCTGTGGGCTAAGACCTTACGTAGCTCAGTCAATGAGCTGCAATTTGACTACACACCAGTCTCCTAGACAGGCACGTACTGCTTACTGGCGTTGTCACCCGCGTCCTGCAAACATACCCTGCCTGCCTTGCAGCTGTATTTCCAGGCTAAAACACTACCTTGGCCTTGCTAGCAGCCACCACCAGTATTTACCTAACGAACTAGTAAGGAATCAGGGTGAGAAGTTCAAGGGTTGAGGCTGTAAAATCCACTTGTTTCTTTAAGTACCGCTTCAGCCTTTGTCCTGCAGAAACAATCCGACAAAGCCATTCCAGTTCACCATTCCAGTTCACATATTTTTCACTGGGATATTTGTCCCAGCAGGCCTGTATAATTTTATTGTTGACAAAAACCAGGCTGTAATAACAGCTTGTCAACAGCAGGTGAAGCCTCTCAAACGAATGTGTTATTCAGCCCCTGCCAGCTCATCCTTAAGAGCAAAACAGTTCTCTCCCTCTCCCCTGCAAGCTCTAAAGAGCTGTAATTACAGCATGTAAGAGGTCCACAAAGAAACAAAACACAGTGTTGGTAAGCACAGCTTTCTTCAGCTAGGATTTCAGCCTAAAGCCTAGAAAGCCTGAAAGTCTTTCTTCTTCTGTGTGTAACACAAAGGCCTCCCACTGCAACTGGGTTCCCAGAGATCCATCAATATGCCGAAGAAAATACCTGATTTCCCCTCTTACATTTCTCACCCCACATCAACCGCTGTACATGCTGGCATGTGTCATTCAGCTCACCCCTAATGAGGGGGTGCCATTCCCCCTTCAGGTCTCAGAGACCTCCCCTTGCAGAAGGCAGCAGATCTCGATTTTGGAAATGAAAAGGTTTTATCACCAGAAGGGAATTCCCTACAGCAGCATCACTCCCCCTGGGGCCAAAGGCACAGTCAGCCTTTGAGCCACCAGCGCCACTGCACCGAAGCATCATTTGAACACCAGGAACCCTTTTCTTCTCCCTGGCATCACTTTTCTAGTAGTGAGCAGCCTCTTGGGTCTGCTCAAGGGCCCCGGACCTGCCAAAAGCTCCTTCGCTCCCCTTTTCCTTCCAAGCGTGCCGGCCAGGCTTGTGAGGGGGCTTTGCAGGACCCGCAGGGCTGTCACACAGCCACAAAGCACATGCTGAAAGAGCTCCCACCTGCTCAGAGATGCTTCAACACCTTCCACCAGAGCAGAAATGAAAGTTTTGTGTGGAGTTTGCTCTCGGTCTCCTGCTCCCCGCATCATGCTGGGTCCTAGATCTTGTACCATGGTGTTTATTTTTAAATAACATACAATTCACTCCAGATACAGAGCAATGTAGCAGAACCACCAAGCAGGTAACAGGTGCTGCAGCCACAGCAAGGCCACCAGTACTTCACTTGTCTTTCTGTCCTGGAAAAGCAAAGCTGCCAAGGAGGAACGAGGCACAGCAGAGCAGCCCTGTGCCCAGCAGCTCTCTCAGGAAACCAGCCCAGCTGGCAAGTCTCCAAGCCCAGTGAGATTCTCTCCAGACATACGTGACCCACTCCAGCAACTGCAGAAGCACTATCAGAAACCCAAAGACGAAACCATCCCTCAAAGCGAATCTAGGAGGTGAACAAGCCTGGAGCAGCCGAGCCGACTGCAACTATAATTATCCACGCACTAAACAAGGAGCTCTCAGTGATGAAGCCCAAAGTACAGCATCGTGGACTGAGTGTGAATTCACATGTAAAAATAAAAGCCTGCTGTGAAATCATCTGCTGCTAAAGTATCTTGAAGTTATCTTTAGAAGGTTAGTCTAACGTCTTTGTTAGCTGCTTTAAAATAAATAAATAAGTGCTGAGACAGTAGTCTGGGAGCCTATTTAAAAAACGATGATCATAAATATGTGACTAATCTGGGTTACGTATAGGCTTTCACAGTTGTCGGCTTCCTGGCGTGAAGCGGTACAGCTAAAACTCAACACTTCCATATCTGAGGTACGGGAGTCTGACTTGCCAGTGGCTGTAAAAGGCCTGTGATCCCGAAGCTCGGTTTTATCCATTTAGAGGTATTACATGCAGCTAGTCCATCCTTCCCCGCACAAAGAAAAAACTATTAGCTACGACACAAGGGAAGTGGTCTGGGTTTTTTTAAGCCAATTACAATCAAAGAATAGAATGCAAGTGATGCTTCCACTTTGGCAAGAAGTGAAAAAGTTTACTTTTACACCATCCCTGTAAGTTGGACAGTCCTCAGCAAAAACCACGTCATCAGAACAGCTCCGTACAAAGGCTCATCACGAAGAATCCGATTTCTGCCTCTGTGACCATGACAGCAGGGCACCCCACCGCTGCTAGCGGATACATCCTCCTGTTTTTAATACCTCTCTCTGAACACCCCTAAGTGTGATGAAACTACTTTCCCTTCTGTACAGGTCCCCTGCACCCCAGGCTAGGTTCATTTCTCCAGCAAGTGGACTGTATAAAGACTGAAAAGACAAAAGGCAAAACCCACGCTTCCACTTTCACAGTCACCCAACACCCTGTAGAATTTCACCAAGCAAAGGCCATCGGGGCCTCCAAGGACAGTGCGTGGAGGGGCCATCAGGCAGCAGTAAGCACAGTGATGCCCGGACATCAGCAGCACCGGCAGCTTCTGGAGCCTCTCAGGCAACCAAGATACCTGGTGCAGGTTTCCTATATATGCCAGTGCACGCATCTAAGTTTTGTACAGAAAAATAATACATCATCTCCCTCCACTTCTGACCCACCAGTGACAGCAGCAGGACTACTCACGATTTGTCTCTTCTGCACGCCCGTCTCGGAGGGCTAGCTTGCCTTCGGCGAGGGGACAACGACTTGCCCCGTGATCTCTCTTTCATCGGAGAATGGGCACTTGAGGGTTTCAGAATCTGCAAGTGATGGGGGAGGGAAAAAAAAGGCGTTCAATAAAGGCAATGATTCACTGAAAATAAAAACTAAAAATAAAGAGCTTTATACAGTAGCGGGGACAGCACACAAACAACCTTCAGTCCCTTGGGGCTGATTCAAACCCTGCCCAGGTTAAGAGGAACCCAAAGCTGTTATCATGTGATAGCTGTTCAGGGGCACCCGGCAAAAATTAGTTGGTGTCACCAATTCAGTTCCCAGCTAAATACTGAACAACAGGTCTCATCCACAGCTCTCTGCAGAGCTGGCAACAGCAAGCGATCAGAAAAACGGCTTTGAGCCTCAGCTGAAGGAAACTCACACAGCCAAACAGCCCTCTCCAGCTCCCCTCTCTGCAAACAGAGGCAATCCCTTCCCAGGCTGGCAGCTGAACTCTGTACGACAGTGGGACCCTTCAGCAGGTCTCCTGTCCATTCACACACTTGCCCACATCCCTCAGGCCCTCCAACCTCAGAAGTCCATCAGCACGACACTCTCACTCTGGGCTATTTTTAAGACCTGATCCTCCAAAGTCAGCCCCCTCACAATGGGAGCCCTGTGAATCAAGTGGCTCAAATTCTGAATTAACTCAAGGGAAGAGGCAGATGCAGGGCCTTCAGCCTTCAAGGGTACAGGGCTGTGGCCCTGGCCTTGAGGCACTTCAAGGACTGGACCCAGTGTCACAGATCAGCACACACACAGAGCTGGTCCCTCTATCAAAAGCAAGTACGAAGCTCAGTAAATCATCCACCCATATGGACTTCTTTAACTAGAGTTTGCTTCAGCTCTTTGCTCTCTAGATGGTATTAATAGCGCATGAATAGAGAAGAAGGGGGGAAAAAGCTTCATTACATCTGTAATCAAGCATATGTGCTTAAGGTGACGGTATGGTACAAGCTGGCCCTCAAAACTCCTTGGCAAGGCAGGCAAGGTGGCAGCAGGACATAGGGGCTATGATGCCACTGACGACACTCAGCCCAAGGTCAGGGCGAGGTGACAGGGGCCTCAGCCAAAAAGGCACGCGGCTGCAACGTAGGAGCCATTCCTCCGCAGGGCTGGGGACGGGAACCCAGAATAACTTGGATGCGATGCCGCATGACTCTCCACGAGAGCCAGCCCCATACTTAGCAACACACCTGCTCTGCTCCCGCTGCCAGCAGAGGGCTGGAAAAGCACCAAATCCCCTTCCACCACGACCACAACCAGCTCGTCCCCCACACCGGCCCCGGCGGCACGGTCAGGGACACCCCTCATCCCCAAGGGCAGCCAAACCCTCCAGGCCCCTGGCAGCCTGCCCTGTCTCCCCCGTTGTTTCCCTCCAGTTTCTTCAGTCCAGCCAGCCAGTAGGGAAACACAGCCAGCCAGTGGGGAAGCACCAGCCTGTCAGGGACTTGCTTTACTCGCCTTTCCCATGTAACGCTCTTTGCAATTTAGCTGAGGGTGGTGGACATCAGGCGTCGCAGGGCAAGCCCACCGGCATGCCCTGCAAGGAGAAGCAACCACCAACACAGCCGTCCTATGGCACCACTTGTAGCTCAGGTGCAAAGAGCTGAGACCCTACCTGCAGCCAGGCCACCCACCCCACCAGCCCCAGCCCCACTGGTTCTTCCCAGCCACCTTCTTCTGGAGTTAGTGAGAAAAGCAAACTGGGCAATAGCTCCTTGATGGCCAGGGACGAGTACGGGTTTCAAGGGCTTCCCAGGCTGAAGGGGAGATCCTTGAACTAAAAGATAGCTATTGGGGCGTGCAAACACATCAAACCCTGTGGGAGAACCACTGAGACAGATGTAAGCACACTCCCAGCCCACCTGATGCCACCTTAATCTCAGGCCGGGGTCAGTCTGCTGCCGTGGAGCCAGACCAACCTCTGCAGGATTGGACCAGGCACACCCACCTCCGAGTCCACCGCCCAGGGGCACAGACTTACCTTCATCCTCATATCCCGGGCAAACTTCTCCAGCTCCTTCCTGACGTCTGTGCGCGTCATTTTGGATACATTGAGGACCAGCTGTTTCCACTCGATGGGCTGAAAGCTGTGTGGCTCGTGTGGGACGTATAATCCAATTTTTACTTTTTTGACTGAATGCAAGTACTTTTTATAGGAGTCTTCAAATTCAAAGATGAGGTCACTCAGAGTTCGGTAAGTCAGAGGCTTGTCCATCAGATCTGATCGTCTGCTCATGCCCAAAAAGTCCCACGCCGGGGGAGCCATACCGGCCGTTGCAGTAAATCCCGAGCACCACATGATGAAAATAGTTCCCTGAGAAGTGGGTTTTAAAGCTGATGGGGAATCGTTCTACAGAGGGCTGCCCGTTCGTTAGGTATCTGGTGTGCACTGCGTCAAGGCAACAACGGCACTGGGAAGGCAGCACGCACAAGTACACCTGTAAGACATCTTTCACAGGTTCTTTTAACTACCAGGACAAGTGCTTTCTTGCAAACACAAATTTATTCTCGCTGTGCCCCAGAAACAGTCAGTGCTGCCAAATCCCATTTCACTGCTTGGAGAATAAGATGCAACGGTTCAGACAGGGAAGTGCCTGACTCTTAACCACGCTTGGGGGGAAGGAAAAAACCACAACAGTGTTTCAGCATGCCAGAAGAGAGACCACCCTCCCCAGATCTGTGGGAACTCCCCCATTAGACACCAATGTCAAAATCTCACTCTCCTACAAGGGAACAGTGTTTCCCTCCATTTCACACCGGAGCTTGGTATGACTCAGGTTATTGATACTCATTTTGCCCACATCTACAAACGATACAAAAACATCTGAATTTATTCCTCTCCAGGGTGACAGTTTGCCTTTCCATCTCTAAACCAGCCCCCAACATGGCCACTCTTCACACAAGAGTGTTTTTGCATGTTACCCTTGTAATACATTGCTGAGATGAACAAAGTAAAGCTCCCAGGCGGATAATTAAGGAGATAAGCAGAGAGACGTGGTCAGGAACAAATGCTTTTAAAAAGCAAAACATGTGCCCCGAATCACTGGCTGGCCATTTCAAATGCACCACATGCACAGGCCAGGGCCAAGCTCCATAACAGCGTAGTAGGTGATCTCAGAGGGGAACTACGCGTGGGTCCCAGGTCATCTCCTGGGGAGGCTGCTGGCCTGTGCCAGGGGGAAGGAGGACTGTGATTCTCTCACGCAAGAGGGTTTGCGTCAGTGCCTACGTTGCACGTGGCTCCCTGCTGCTAATCCCCGGACAGCTGAAACGCACCCTGGCTCCATGTGCTGACACCTGGCCCCTGGGACAGCAGGCGCCCTTCCCCTTGGCAGCTGAGACCCCCACCCACGCCTGGGGAATGGAGGTGGGATGACCAGAAAAGGCTGCGGCAAGCAGCTCCAGCCTGGGATTACTCCAGCCAGAGGCACCTGCTGTAACCCCGGAGCAGTCCCCAGAGGCAGAGAAGGTCAGGGTAGTGCCACTACAAAAATACAGCGGCCCGAGGGGCAGCACTGCCAGGATAACACCCGGGCAGCCTGAAGAACGGAGGAGTGGGATTGGTCTCTGAGCTGCAGGCACTGGCTCAGATGAGGGTCCTGCTTTGGGGATCTCCAGCATCCCCTCCTCCCCCCACCCCAGGCCCAAAAAAGAGGTCTTTAACAGCAGCGAAACAAGAGCCACTGCATAGCTGAGATGCCCTGAGATGTTAGTGCAGCCGGCCTTCCTCCCCTGCATGCATAGCACTGCTGTCCGACAGCTGCTGGGCAACTGAGAAGACAAAAAGCCTTTGCACCAGTACCTTAAAACACAACTCAGGCTTGGTTCTGGTTCTGCCCAGCCTGACACCCCACCTCACCATCGGTGCAACACCCTGGGATGCTGACCACCCACCCGCAGCCTGCATTGCGCCTGTTCTCTCTACAGAGATGCAGGAGAAGCATCCAGCGGCTCTCGTCTGTCTCTAAAGCATTTTCTCAAGGGGATTTTTCACCCACCTGACACTTGTTGAATTTCACATATTCAGACTTGTTCCTTCCAGGTGAACACAGGAACCTACTAGTAAGAGATTCGTGAACTGCCCAGAATCTGAGGTCGAGAGCAAGGAGTTAAACCTCCACACACAAAAAAAAAAACAAAAAAAAACCACAAAACACCACACTGGCAAAAATCTTCCAGAACAGCCACAGGGAAGCTTTTTGGTTCAACGTCAAACATATTTAACTGCATTCAGTGCTAGATGTCATCAGCTTTAGCAGTCTGGAGACATTGTATTAGAGGGGATAGGAACGGACAACACCATCAGCCCACCTCCTGGTGCATTTCAGCATCTGCACAACAGCAAGGCTGGACAAGCGTGCAAGGCAGAGCGCAGACCTCCCTACCATGCACAGAACCCCTCGCCCACCCAAGGCTACGTGCACTCACCTCTGCCCATCTGCTGCCCCACCTACATCAAACATGAGCACCCTGCAGCAACTGTCAAAGATCACCCCCGGTATCAACTACACCAACACGGAACAGAAATATTTCTGTTGCCTTCGGTGATCTTGCTGGATCGCCGTTGCATTAGGACGAGCTTCTCCAAGAAAAACCCCACACCATCAGTAGAATTAAAGATTACAGATACACTTCAAGGTCAGAATAGGGCCCAGCGCCATTATATCAACTGCAGAAAACTCTGCCCACAGTCAACTCATTTAAAGGGTCACCTTGCTCCAGGCCTTAAAAGGAGCATGATGCGTACATCAAAGTCATGTTACAATAATTTGTGTCGTACAGACAGACTCGTGTAGAAGCCCATTGTATTTATCATTCTGTGTAACTGAAAAAGCAGTATCTTTTATTAACACCTATGAAGCTTTCAAACATCGCCACTATTTTTCCCCCTCATTATGAAAGGGTTTTCTCTCTGCTCCCCGAGTGCCTTTCTATTAAGTCCACACAAAGCTTTGGTGGCCACCTGCCATACATACACACTTCTGCCATGAGGTCTCAGAGAAGTTGCAATTTAATCTCATTAAATACAAGGTAGGAGTAAAAGAATCTTTTGAGGACAGAAATTACCCACCATCAAATAATCCAGCAACAACCGCTGTGGAAATTAACCTTTAGGTACAGGTTGCTTCTGCAGAGTGACTAGTTAATGAGAGTCCCCACCCGAGATGAAATACACAGCAAATGGGCTGGAAAGGCACGTCAGATCTTCCCCTCCATCCATGCATCATTATTATTTCTTTTCCTTTCTGCTCTGCCCAAGCAGAGCTGTATTGTGGCAAACAAAAGGCAATGCCACAGCAATGCCACAGCTGTAATCACACTTTTGAGCGGGGACTGTAACTGCAGGACAGAAAGTCAGGGAGTAAATTATGTGCCACAATGCAGACGCAGCGCAGAGCAGGAGAGGGCAAAAGCAGCTGCAACGAAAGCTCAATGGCCTCCCGATCCCGGGTCTTCGTGTAAATGAAAGCAGCAGAAAAACAGCACTGATGGATGCTGATCTTGGAGATCACACAAGATGGACCCTAATCTTCTGGCTGGCCACCTCTTGCCCCAATATCCCTCCTCTTCCCCCAGACCCACGAAATGCGCAAGGACAATACCTGGAGCTCCACCTGGGTTTCATGGGTTGGTACAGCACGTCCCCATCTCTCGGAGATTCCTAAGTACTGCCCGCCCTGACTCTCAGCTCCTCTGCAGCCTCATACTTGCTCTTCAACCTCAATTTCTTCCATCCCACAGAGACACTAATGCCTGCCAGCCAGGGCTGCATCTATCAGGTAACTGACAAATTCTGCTCTCGTACCCCAGGAAGGTGATTTTGAAAGAGACAGGTTTGGGTCTAAAGTAGTGAGAGAAGAATTGGGCCCGAATCATACAACATGCTTTGGGGGTGACAGTCCATTGGGGTAAACCAGTATGGCTCTATTAACAAGCAGGCTTTCTTGAGCACAGCAATACCGCTAGCAGCCTGCAGAAAGAGCCGGATCTCCCTCGCCAGCACGCAGCTCCTATGGATCTGCGAGTCGACACAAGCACACCATCTTCTGAGCCGCAGGTCATTGTGCTTCCCATGGTCGCATCGCCTTCACCACTCGGGCTCACACACAGCCTAGCTTGGATACCTGGGAGACATTCAAATCCCAGACTCAAACACAAGCAAGACTGGGACACAAAACCTCCACTCTGGCCACCGCCTGGACCTTCCTGGGCAGTGGGGCAAACGAGGAGCAGCATCCTCAGTCAGTTCAAATGAGAAGGGAAGAATTCGTTAAGGTGCTAGCTGAGTCAACCCCCTAGTTTTAAAATTCTCGAGCAGAAAGCGTCTGGATGGGTTTTCTTTAAATCTGTACACTCACACAATGGCTCAACCAATGCCCTTCTGTGGTTTGTTTGGGCTTTTTTCCCCCCCACCTCCTGGTGAAAGCAAACATCAAAAACATCCCACAAAGAAGTCCCAGCATCTTCCCCTCCAGCATAGACC